TGTCAAGTCTATAGCTTTGTGTACTAACTCTGTTTGTATGTCTAGTCTATAGCTTTGTGTTCTAACTCTGTGATTGTGTGTCAAGTCTATAGCTTTATATACTAACTCTGTGATTGTGTGTCAAGTCTATAGCTTTGTGTACTAACTCTGTTTGTATGTCTAGTCTATAGCTTTGTGTACAAACTCTGTGATTGTGTATCAAGTCTATAGCTTTGTGTACAACCTCTGTGATTGTATGTCAAGTCTATAGCTTTGTGTACTAACTCTGTTTGTATGTCTAGTCTATAGCTTTGTGTACTAACTCTGTTTGTATGTCTAGTCTATAGCATTGTGTACAACTCAATGATTCTGTGTCAAGTCTATAGCGTTGTGTACTAACTCTGTGATTGTATGTCAAGTCTATGGCTTTGTGTACTATCTCTGGGTTTGTATGTCAAATCTATAGCATTGTGTACTAACTCAATGATTGTATGTCAAGTCTATAGCTTTGTGTACAACCTCTGTGATTGTATGTCAAGTCTATGGCTTTGTGTACAACCTCTGTTATTGTATGTCAAGTCTATAGCATTGTGTACTAACTCAATGATTGTATGTCAAGTCTATAGCTTTGTGTACTAACTCTGTGATTATGTGTCAAGTCTATGGCTTTGTGTACAACTGATTGTGTGTCAAGTCTATAGCTTTGTGTACTAACTCTGTGATTGCGTATCAAGTCTATAGCTTTGTGTACTAACTCTGTGATTGTATGTCAAGTCTATTGCTTTGTGAACTATCTCTGGGTTTGTATGTCAAGTCTATAGCTTTGTTTACTAACTCTGTGATTGTGTGTCTAGTCTATAGCTTTGTGTACTAACTCTGTGATTGTGTGTCAAGTCTATAGCTTTAGCTTTGTGTACAAACTCTGTGATTGTGTGTCTAGTCTATAGCTTTGTGTACTAACTCTGGGTTTGTATGTCATGTCTATAGCTTTGTGTACTAACTCTGTTTGTATGTCTAGGCTATAACTTTGTGTACTAACTCTGTGATTATGTGTCAAGTCTATAGCTTTGTGTACTACCTCTGTGATTGTATGTCAAGTCTATTGCTTTGTGAACTACCTCTGGGTTTGTATGTCAAGTCTATAGCTTTGTGTACTAACTCGGTTTGTATGTCTAGTCTATAACTTTGTGTACTAACTCTGTGATTGTATGTCAAGTCTATACCTTTGTGTACTAACTCTGTGATTGTATGTCAAGTCTATACCTTTGTGTACTAACTCTGTGATTGTATGTCTAGTCTATAGCTTTGTGTACTAACTCTGTGATTGCGTATCAAGTCTATATCTTTGTGTACTAACTCTGTGATTGTATGTCAAGTCTATACCTTTGTGTACTAACTCTGTGATGGTATGTCAAGTCTATAGCTTTGTGTACAAACTCCGTGATTGTGTGTCAAGTCTATAGCTTTAGCTTTGTGTACAAACCCTGTGATTGTGTGTCAAGTCTATACCTTTGTGTACTAACTCTGTGGTTGTATGTCTAGTCTATAGCTTTGTGTACTAACTCTGTTTGTATGTCAAGTCTATAGCTTTGTGTACAAACTCCGTGATTGTGTGTCAAGTCTATAGCTTTAGCTTTGTGTACAAACTCTGTGTTTGTGTGTCAAGTCTATACCTTTGTGTACAAACTCTGTGATTGTAAGTCAAGTCTATAGCTTTGTGTACAAACTCTGTGATTGTGTGTCAAGTATGTTGTTACTAGGTGTACTAGTGTTACATTTTATTAGTTATCGTAACTGGTTAGGCAGGGTTTACGGGCTATTATCGCCTGCATCGGTCTTATATTACCTGGGCCACAGGTGAGGTAAACAACTCATATAGGGGATATGATCCCGCACTCCCCGAGATAACGTTTTTGTCATACCACAATTTTTTCATTCCTAGTAGCAAGAAAGGCTGAATAGGCAACAAATCTTACCTTTTATTTTACATTCTTAAACAAGTTTCAGTACTGAAGTATGAAATAATATTAGTTCGCTTATATTTCATTTACTGGTGGAATTATAACGCTTTTAAACTTTAGGAACTAAATTCAATACGTTAGCTTATGACTTTGGCATAATTTAAAATTCCGGCACGATAATCAAGTCGTACGAGTTATACCACGGAAAGAACTGTAATCGGGGCGAAGTGTTCCGAATGCCTGTTTAGACACTAATGTTAATATAAGTTACCTCCCCTTGAACAAATCTTACCATTGAGGATTGAAAAGATTCTATTCTGGGGTATGACAACACAGGTTACACTGAGCGATAAAAGACCATTCGGTGCATTGGCTTTTTAAAATTTTATTAAAAAAAGATAGAGACGAAAATATACAATCAACGCAACAAACCACATATCTAATAAAAATAATATAAATATCAACAACATTTTATCTGTAAATATCACCAATTCTACATAGTGCTGTCAGAATGTTTGTTAGCGTATAAAGTTAATTCTCGTTTTAAATGAAAATCGCATCGTTTGTACAAAGGATAAAGGTGCTGTTCTAGATTACAGAGATTTCGACGTATTCAAAATATCTAATAATAATGTTCAAACGTGTAATGTTGATATATTAACGAATAACCTAATCATCAAATTGAAAGCAGTCTTCTAATAGTCATATAATATATTAGTATCTGCAGGTACATATATGTTATGTAAAGCAATATTTTGATATGGTCCTTACAAAATTATGACATTCAATTAGAACAGAAATCGGTGTCGAACGATTCAGTGGGAGTTATCGCCCTTCGTACTGTGTTCCACAGTACATACGGATATGCCTACCTGCAGCTAAGACCGTATGCGATGGTCCCTTGCAACACAAACCTATGAGGATCCACACATCTTTAAAACAAGAACACTTTCGTATCAATAGAACAGCACAACAGACATCTTTGGAATGTGTTCTGTACGTCAAAAATGATCACATTTAGATCGAACTCACAACCTCGCATCATAAAATACATCAGCCCGAGTTTCCTCTGGCCCTGGCACCAGACTTGGACATTTTGACGTGTGCACACCAGACATCTCGGGCTAAAACTATATATGGCATCACAAATTCATGTCAGATGCTATATATAAAACAGAAGATGTATAATATAAGTGGACATCGCAGTACATGTAATGTACTACTTTATATATATACTGCGACGCTCACTATTTACCGCTGTATGATCTCTCCGGCATTCATTTGGACTGTAAATGTCATGGCCCACGTGTTGGCGTTATCATGACGTAATCGTTACAAGTTATACCGTCACAATTTTCAAGCTAGATACCACAGACGCTCTATGGAAGGTGGCTGTGCTACACTGAACAAGCATACACGGTACATACACTAACGCGTAATTTTAACAAGCATATGTATCAATGATATTAAAAAACGATGAATATAAGCAATAAACTGTGATATGATATGACATTTACAGTCTATATGAATGATACAATAAATGCACAATGAATATCAAAACATATCTTCTACCGAACTTCATGGGATGCAAGTGTCTGCAGTTCATGCTGACATGACAATCGAAAATAAACTCTATTTTGATATTTCAAATTATTTCTTAATAAACTGTATCTTTTTTAAACATTATGAACTCAATGAATCAGCCATAAAAATATCGCCTTCAATTTCTTTCCTCACACAAGTTTCGGGAAAGTATCAGTGAAATCTAGTTAGTCTTTGGTTACCGAACAAAAATATAAATAACATTATCACATTAATTTATATAACAATTAACTACTCCAAAACTATGGAACCATGCTCGTCGAGATGGTGTTTTCGAGTTTGTTTATTTTGTTCGCTTTGGGGATTAACTTTTGGCCGTTGCAATCGAGCAACGGCCATATGAAGAAACCCCAAGCGGAAAAGACAGAAAAGGCACGAGAGAAAGTAAAGAAAAAGATGAAGTTTTTCAATGGGGAAAGCATATCAATCATGGTTCCTTCCAAGCCCCCTTCAGCAGAAGACACAGAAAAAAATCTTGGATATTACAGTGGTTTATAGCATGCCTATTCTTTCCCCAACTTGCTGCTATTTGGTCTGGTTTCTTAAGAAAAGATCATATTACATATGAAATCGAGTATTTTTCTCAATTGAAAATGCAATTAAGTATATAAAGAATCACTGTTTGTATATAGGTATTGCAGATACAACCGTGCTTATACCGAGGTACCGCACTTCAGAAACAAAATACATCACTATTACGTTGGCCGTTGCTGTACTAAGGATATTCTACCCTACATAATACTGACTGTGTTACTGTCTATCTCCTCTAGAGGACCCATTGATTGCTCATATCAGGACGGTTTTACATTAGATTGATACATGCGCATAGTTTCTATCACGTTGTCGAGTATTTTCACTTCCCTAATAGCCTATAACGGAACACATGTTGATTGGCTGTGGGCAAAGGCTCTCATCGTGTTTTTTGTCTGTTGGCCTCATGTTCTAAAGAAGTAATGTGCAAAGTGATAATTCTGGTGACTCCTACAAATACTTTATACACATAGTATACATCAAAATAATAATACTTGTTCAGCACAGTGCCTTCGATAGCCAAGAGACGATATTCTAAGTCCCACTCGCCTTGGCAGGAAATCTCTTTCGCATCCATTATAAACTATGTTTAAGCTATTTAGATATGAGTTTATACGCACTTCAATAGTTAAAAGCAATGCTTAAGAAACTTTGCTTTGAAATATAAATGTTCATGCTTCACGATTGCCATTGGCTTCAGTCTTTTCCTCATTACTAAGCAAATTCTTCGTGTTTTCAGAAAGATCCTTTAAGCCGATATTCATATCATCATCGACATCTTCTTCCTCTGAAGACCAAGATTGTATCCTCCCTTGGGCAAACACGATGTAAAATATACCACCAAACACATAGATGGCTGCGGCGATGTAAAAGGCCACCCTCCATTCTCCTGGTGTTTTCTGTACAAAGATAATGCAATAATTAAGCATTGAACTGTTTTTGTATGGTATTTATGATCTATTTGAATGACACAGCTTTGCAAGCAAACAACATAATGCGCGCTAGTCGATAGATTCTATAACATCCTCGTTATTTGACATGTCGTCAGAAACTGAGGAATGGTGGATGCGAGAAGTGTGAAAGATAGCGTTTGAAGTGAGTGATCTTGCGACGGAGCACAGGTTCGTTACAAATGTCTGAAATGTTTACATTATTTGTATGTGTGCTGTGACTCATATCAGTAGGTCTGTAACATATGTGTCAGTAGGTCTATATAATATGTGTATTTCAGACATTTGTAACGAACCCCTGTTGATCAGTGCAGTGTAACAGACGATATTTCTGATAAATTGCATGAGCGTTAAAATTGTTTCCATTGCCGGCATTGGTGATTTCAACCGATGTGCATTTTGTACGATATTGCAGACATTGGTCTTGTTTTCGTTGTAATAAAAGTGTTTTTTTAATTTTATTTTTCATTTTGCACATAAATTTACAATGACATTGTCAAATCTCACAATGCCCAGCGATATTTCAGCAGCCGTCATGTTTATTTATATTGGATATTGTAGTTCCGGTCAGTGTTGTATTAATACGCTAAGAATTGTGTCTCGTGATGCATGGTAATTAAAGTCCCATCAACGACACAGCTTTCAAAGAGGCTATATAGTGACAATGCCATGCAAATGTAAATATTATACCCTGAATACCAATACATCAAGTTATGTAGTGTGTATTTGTCCTTAAATAAAACGTTTGTTATATTTTTGTTTGGTTAAAGATAATAATAAGCCGAGAAGAGATTTTCTCATTGGCACTACAAAGAACGAATCATGTTTTCCTCATCTAGTCTTCAAATATGGACTTATTTTTATGAATTGTACGGACTCGACCAATAATTAACGGGTGTAACATCACTAACCCATGTATAAGCTTGCTATTCCTGAAGTAGGTTTCTATAGTTCAGAAACAATTACTTAACGTAGTGACCTTCCATCCTGATTTTAATGGAGGTTTAATTTACTCACATTCTGTGTGATTGAACTGACAACGTACGGCGCAAGGATACCAGGGACGCTTGCGCCAGTGTTTGTTATTCCAAAAATAGTTCCAGCGTAGTTCGGAGCAATGTCGGCGTGGTTCACAAAGAAAGAGGCGAATTGAAAGCCACAGAACGCCAAGGACAATGTCAACAAAGCGACAGCCTCGATCTGATGGTAACAGTCCATGTAACCAACGGCAATGAGGAAAATAGCGGGGACAAACATCCCTGTAAAATAAAACGCAATACTTAAAGCGGGGATATAGATATATTCACACAAACTAAATGATATCCGAACGAAAGTAGTTCCTCTGTCAAGGGTTCAACTCAATATACATACATTTTGTACAGAGGATTTGTGCAACGAGAGCGGAACTCTTTGATTCCGAAATTGAACAATCTACTACAAACACAAACCAAAAAGATATCCGAACAAAACACTTTCTAATGTAATAAATAGGAGGTGTTTTTTTTATTCCTTTTTGATATTCACACACCAATTACTGTTTCAAAACGACGAATAATATGAATAAGTTTTTCTCTACCATTGTACCCACATACTAACGTGTCCTACCTATTGAACCGCACAGCTTCCTTGTCCATTCAATAGACAAAATGTTCTTGGATATGAAGAAATCGGCAAAGAAGGCAGCAATAATGACGAAAATCCAAAATACAATATAAGGAATCATGGAAAACACCCCGTTCTGTAAAATAATAATAAAAAAAAATGTATTTTTATGTGATTTCCAACTTTTCGTCTTTTCATGCTTACCATAAAACGTTTATGACAGATTGGGAAATGCAAACGAGTGAAGCAAACAGTAAAATTATTCTTAAATGTTGATAATTGGTTGGGAGTGCTGTACTACAGAATGGTGTTACACAGACTGACTTCCCAGTGTGAATGTCGATAGCAATTCATAGTAATAAACAACATTTTAAATAGTGCCCTATCCCCTACCCGAATGCATTGCGGTCCCCTACCACACAATGAACCCTTGGGGTTTGATCATGACGGCTACCGTGTCTTATGCAAAAAAAATATACTTCAGTGTCATGTTTGGTACATTTTTGTATTCGAGGATCAATCAATTTGCTTCGAATAAGTAGATAAACAATTTAAGTCGTAAAAGTGTGCAACATAATTGTCAGTAATTTGGAATAGGGGTCATAGGGGTTATAGGGTCATTGGAAATTCGAACCACGACCGATAACTTACCGACTTAATATCAAAGTGAAGAACTTCCTTCATGTATGTCGGCATTTGCGTTAGCAACATATATGCTCCGTAGTTGCCGCAGAAGTTAGCCACCAATATAGCCCAAACAGGAAGTGACGTCAGCATAGCTTTCCATGGTATAGGATGTTTCTGAAATAATGTTTTCAAAGCGTTGAATGTACACAAATCATTATTGGAACATTGCTCGTTTTGTGCACCGGAAACATTTCTTTCATATCGGTAAATCTAACGCAAAACGCGTTTCTAATAAAGAAAATTACAAACATGACCATTTCGAAAAAAAATAATTGAACGAATGACCAACATTACTTTTTGTCGGAAGGTGGTGGTTATACTAAAAAGAGTAGAGAAAATATCTTCATCGGTTATTATAATTTGATTTGGGACCGTCTAACACATTTGTAATCGTTCTTCATATTTTCCAGTTGGCAGTAAAACAAGATATGTAAAATGTAGTCGCGGTTGCGTCATTACTTTTGGACAACAACTCGAATTTGTCTGAAATGGCGGGATATCCAAATTTCCACAAGCGAGAACATCCTACAAGTTGTATACCCTATAAGTTGATGACGTAGGACGCTTCTTGCGAACAGTTGAGATACTATTTAAGCAGACAAATTGTCGTCTAATCTAAAGTCATAATTTAAAGAGTTCATTAAATAAAGACTGATTATCAACTATAGAAAGGAATATTCCTCACCTTCTTGTCGGAGTTCTTCGGAGATATCACATATCCAAGCGAACTCTCGATATACCGAACTTCGAGGTCGGATATTCCCGGTTTTTCTGCAGGTGTGTTCCGAACACATACCAGCCATACTATCGTCCAGATCAGAGCCATGCCACCTACAAATTGAATTGAATGTGAAACTTACGAACACCTCATGCTTTACGAGCGTAGTTTTTTTTATGTCTTTGTTTTATTTTTATAATAGTTTACAAAGCTGATAGATATGTAATAGTTTTTGTTTTCAATATATCAGTCACAGGGATTATATACCATGAACATATAGTGTAACCAACCATCTATAGAATAACGTACCATCTATACATGACAAAACGTACCCAGGACGTAGAATATGGCGGGCCAGCCTCCGTCAAATCCGTACTGACACAGAAGGCTCGCTACAGGAAACGCTAGGGCATTCCCCAGTTGACATCCTCCGAAGGAGAAACCGACAAGTCGACTCCGTTCCTCTGGAGGAGCCCACTTCGCCCACAGGACCTGTGCCCCGGGATACATCATCGCCTGTGTATGTAAGTACATCGTAAGAACTCAGTGTTAATCAATCTCGTCATGTGTCATTGACATCATAAGGTGATTTTTCTCATCAGTGATGGCGCTAGCCTTTTTGAAAATGAGGTCCCAAACAACTGAATTTTGATTCACAAAAAAGAACATAGTTTAGCGTCGAAGGAGTCTAAAGTCTATAGGGGACCACACATAGGCCAACCGACAGTCTTGCGGTGGGGAATGCATTTTATATATAAATGTGATCAAGAAATATTTGAAATATCCGTGAAAATCATTGTTTTAAATTCGCGGCGTCATTAATATTCAAGCCAATTTCCATAAATAGATATAAGAGCAAAAGACTAAGTGAGAGATTATGTACAAATTTATTTAACATTAAAAATAAAATGTAGTATGTCTGTATATGTACCTCGCCGACACCTATCAGCACTCTTCCAACTAGAAGTAGATAGGGGCTCCCCCTGGCGAGAAGCGGTGTAAGTAACGTGAGCGTCGACACAAGCAACATCCCACCAAAGACAGTCCCACGAGGACCGTATCGTTCTGCCAACCAGCCAGCAGGAATCTGCATGATAGTGTAGCCCCAGAAAAAGGCTCCCAGTAAAAATCCACGGAGAAATTTGTCCCATTCGAATTCCCCTTCCTAAAATATCAAAAGAAAAGAAAAGAAACTACGCTTATACAAATAAATAAACCATCGGCTAATTGACATCAAACAGATTGTATACAAGAGACATCACCCAGTAGCCGAACACATTTATTATCGAAGGAGAATGAGGAGAAAAGAAAAGCTTAAAAAGTATTTGAGTTAAAATGCTCTCTAAACGCTTTCGTAAATTGATATTGTATTGATGGCTGGAAAGAGGTGGTGACCTACCTGTGATTGACTTGACCACGCGGACGTTGGACAGACACGAACTTGTCGTACCTCAAGGTTTCCTGACGATTTGTTTTGTGTAACTAATCCAGATGTATAACTATAGTTCCGGATAGTTACATGGTCAGTATCATTAGCGAATTTCTGGATGTTAACACCAGTATCGTTGGTCATTTCCTGCTTGACCATACATATTATGGCCACACTCAAATTGACCCGGTTAGCATACAGACAGAAGAATCCCATAAAACAGAGAAAGGACAGGCGCACTCTATGAGATGTCCACCACGGCACTGTAAATATAATATTAAATTCATTTCAACACTCGTACTATACTGGATGATAGTAAAAAGAATTGCGAAATAGACATTTTTAGGTGAATTCGCAAAAAAAGGCGACCGCAAAATTGAATTGTAATAACGTTCTTTCAGACACAAGTTAACCATAGGTGTTTCTCAAGTTTTCGAAAATTGAAATCCCTTTAGAGGATTAATCGTAAGACCAATCATAATTATATGTTCATAAATGACATAACGTTTTTCAAATACATGAAATAGTTTTACGAAACATCATCATGAAACACTGACTCTTTTCAAGTAATCAAGGTAAATTCATGGACAAAACTGGTTGCATACCTTCTGTATGCGAAATTTGTATATCGGGGTGTTCGTCCAGGGGTTCGTCAACATCTGTCTTTATTACTTTGTAAGAGTCCCAGTGATGTAGACTAAGACTCGATTGCCTGTGCCAACTTCCACCGGAAGTAGTTCTCCGGCGTCTCGTGGAACCTCCACCATGGACAGAGTCTACACTGAACTGGTTTTGGAGGATGTGTTTGTTGATTGGTGGTCGTGCCAGCCCTCCATTAGGACTTGTGTTGGGGGACTCAGCGGAAGTCGTCATCACAATCCGGATGGATATTCTCTGGCTACAACATTAAATATAGTCTAATACTCAATGTGACAAAGGCCTTTTGAAAGAATAAAAAAACACGATCACAAGATCTAAATAGGCTGTATTTCTGAATGAGTATGGAAACCTTCTACCTTACATAATATGTTTGTTATTGTATGAGAGTTGCCTCCCTTAAGTTTGGATACGTATAACTCCAACATAATGATTGATATATAAATATGTCGTCTGCTGAAAGGCCGCAAGGCCGTAATAGCGGACGTAAAACCATCAAAATCAATTGTGCCAATACAAAAATAGTAAAATGCTTAACCAATAGTTGAAACAGCACTGCACCTACAGCACCTTCACCAATGGAATCAAATACAAAGAATGACATTTCCTTGAAATATTACATTCCCAACAAAACAACTAAACTTTCCTCTTCTTTTCCACAGAGGGTCTGGAATATAAAAACCAGGCCTCGTAACATTAAATACCCAATGACAGTTGATGTTAATTATGTATCGAACATATATGTATCAGCAAGAATTGAAGAAAACGGGAAATAACTAGCGATTTAATTTGATAAATTGCTTACGAAATAGCGACTCCACTGAACACTTCATGTTACAAATTAAGTACTACATGTTGGCATTTGGAACTCCTCGACCCTATTTCAGTTCCTTCCACCTTATGACCTATTCGGCCGAGGAGTTCCGAGTGACAAGTTGGGCTAGTAAAAATAAATATTCTTTTCGTCTGCTGGATAACCGAACTACTCGCGATCGGTAGTGAAAGCGGACGTAAAACCAATTAATCAAATTTTTATAATCGTGTTATAGATATGTAGATTTGATTTAATTGATATCACACGATGTAGCCGTCATTATTGAAATGGTTACAGTATATACTTGACATGTACAAGACAACAATTTAGGGCTTGTTCTCAGTAACCCCACCTTTAAAAATCGGGGAAAGCATGTTGTTAGAAAGATTATAGTCTGTTTCTGAGTAATATTGGCAGTATTTTCTTGTGTTTTTACCTGTGGTTAACCCTTCTATCTAAGGAGGGCTTGTTCTCAGTTCCCCACATTTAAAAAAAAAAAAAAAACACGAGGAGTAGAATATTTTTTGAAGGATTATAGTCTGTTTCTAAGTATAGTATTGGCAGTATTTACCTGCATTTACCTGTGCTGTTCTATCAAAGCTGGAAGCTGATCATATTTAATTAAATATTACATCATTTACGATTTTCAGTTTTAATAAAAAAAAAAAAAAATCAATTTGAATTATATTAATTAATTTTAAATAGTAAATCTACCCATTTTGTAGTCATTGTGCTGCTGATATGACATATAATAAGATTTACTATTTTATTTTGCAATAGTTTTGTATATTAAACATATTATTAACAAGGTCACCTCAGCATGCAACTTTCCAAATATCACCATCCTAGATATGTTGTGTTGTTCTATCAAAGCTGGAAGCTGATCAGATTTAATGTAATAATAAGTCATAAAAGATTTTCAGATTTTAAATAACAAATGCTATTTTTTTCAATATTAATTAAACATATATAAATAATATGTGTTGTTTTACAGTTGATAATTAAACTTAAAAAAAGAAATTCATCTTAATTCCTAGATGTTAGAAGTATCTTATAACCATCATAAAAAACATTGTGAGGTTCAGCGCTTTAGATGAACCTGATGATGCTGGCCTACCTGTTAACACAACACCTTTCACAGACTGGGATAGATGACAACAAATATGTGTGACACTTGACTGTGGACTGTAGTTTTGATTTTGTACTGGATTTTGAAGTTAAGATTTGAGATATAATCTACAAGTATTGTTAAACTTGACTATTTTTAATAGACAGTGCTACATTGTATAAAAAAGAGTTTCTATTGTGTGATATGTAAATGATATAACTCCTTAACATGTAATACTGATTGTTTTTGTTTTGAAATGTAATGTTCGAGTAAATTTAGATTTGACTGTTTTGTATTGGAAATTAAAGTATATACTTTAACGTGTATTGTATTTTGTGGCTTAAAAAGTATAAATTAAACGAAATGTAATGTATATAAGTATTGACATATTTGACCGTTAACAATTAATATGTAGTGCTGGTTATATCATATTTTGAATTGTATTTGGTGGTTTTTGAAAGTGTAATATAAATGAAATGTAATGATTATGTAAAAGCATTGAAACATTTGACTGTTAACACTTACTATTTAGTGATGTTTATATCTGTAGTACATCATGTATGTAATGATTGTATCATGTGTACGTACTATGTATACATAAATTAATTTCCAATTAACAACCTTAATTTGATAAACAGACAATTTAATGTTTATTTATCAATTGTTATCAACTCAGTACCTCCCAAACATTAATTAAAACTCATTAACTATATATCCCAAAAATACCTAATATATCACGTACCCTCAAAAGTCATACTGGTAACTTATTACCTGTGAGGTAAGCATGGAACAGACAATAAATGGTTTGCCCTTGGCTTCCTATGTCAACACATTTCTTTGTTCTCTAAAAAGTGAGGGACTGGGGACACCCTACTTTGGCTACCTCTACAGACACTGTTTTGACAGCATATATTAACAACATGCGTACTGCGGTCATTGACCGTCTATAGCTCTGGATATGTTACACGTGCTACGTGTAATATTTCCACACTGTGACGTCATACAATTAACTTCAGGATGCGTGTATGTATCTATAATCTCAATTGCGGCTGTGGCCTAATGGTTTACGTGCATTGAAACACGAAACACCATAGCTTTAAACACTAACACAAACGAGCTCGAGATAGGAATGTCGGTTGACGCGTTTACTATATTGAATATCGACAAAGGTTAAGCAAGGTCTCCATTTAAGTCTGCTTCACAGTTCAACTATTTTTGGTCTATATTCTATAGGATAGTCAGGGTTATGATTTATACAGGTACACGGATTTTATATGGTGTGATTTAGAGGGTAATCACACCTTAGCTGAGGCTGATGCCAGACGTGGCTACCTTAGCTGAGACTGATGCCATACTTGGCTTCCTTACATGGTGCGGTTTAGAGGGTAATCACACCTTAGCTGAGACTGATGCCAGACGTGGCTATCTTACATGGTGTGATTTAGAGGGTAATCACACCTTAGCGGAGACTGATGTCAGACTTGGCTATCTAACATGGTGTGATTTAGAGGGTAATCACACCTTTGCTGAGACTGATGCCAGACTTGGCTATCTTACATGGTGTGATTTAGAGGGTAATCACACCTTAGCTGAGACTGATGCCAGACGTGGCTATCTTACATCATCGCTGTTACACCTGCAGAGCACAATCAATACAATGTATGATGTAACCGCCAATCCCTAAAACAGGACTTCGTAGTGTGTTACTTTTAATATTAAACTATAATCAACCGCCATAGAGAAGTGGATCGGACCAGGACGATTTAAATCATTGTTTCCGGCCTTTTCCCTTGGGTTGGGGTGGGGTAAGATGGGTAGGGATGCGCTGATTATAGTAGCGTAATGGGTTAATCACTGAATAGTTGCTTTTTAATATAGTAAGTTAATGAAAAAATGGCAGTGGTACATATTTTATTCAAATACATATTCAAATTGATAATTTAAGAAAAATCCTTTATTTGTACATTCCTTGTTAAAATCTTTTCTATTTCATTTACCGAACCGTTTTGTTTTGAAGCTTCTGTTTATTATAATAACATAAGTACCTCATTAAAGTTTGACGAAACAGTCAAAAATAATATTGCGATATTTTCTAGTTCTACTTTTTGTTTCATTTAGCAGTGTTATAAGAGGCTAATTAGCCCGTTATTTATCATTATATTTTATGTAAGTATATAATCTGTTGTTTGTATATGAAATAAGATTGGTTATCTTACCCGCGGTTTATATATTGTTTACTTGAATGCGATTTTAATTAAGTATAAAGAGATTTCAATATTAACACTAAGTGTGATTGTGTGTCCAATTTTTAGACAAACCGAATGACGTCTTGGTGTTTAATTAAGATATATATTGGTTATATGCATCAATACATGCATGGTTAGTGATTCACATTAAAACATCTCTCCCGGATCTTTCTCAGCGCTTTTACTTACGTTGTTGCGTCATACACACAAACATCACCACGCTAAAATTCACATACATGCTAACACTGCAATTTCTCACAAGGTGATCGCCATTTTTGATAATATCGGCTAGATTTTCATGACTTTTACATTACCCAGGTAGAATTCATAACGCGTGGTTAATTTCTGTAGACAAATATGTAAGGTTCTAATCTACAGCTATTGCAGCGAAACATTCCATGACAATTGTAATAGAGCGTGTAATGATGTTTTCAATTGTGATGAAAATCTGTAAAACTTACCTGGAGCTTTATCTTCTTAGGAAAAAGATGGATACAGATGATAATATATTTTCCTCTGCAAACTGAACCGTCTCGTCTTAATACGGTTTCACAGAAAACCGCACGTGACCGCGTGCATATATACCAACAAGTACACGTGAACAATGTGTGTAATACTGAGAAAAAATGCAGCAGTCCGAGAATATTGGACATTTACTTAACAATAAATTAATATAGGTAGTTGTGTCAGTTGTTAGAATAATCGTATATGTTAAAATCTCTAGTAATTTATGATAGAATTGCAAATATTGGAAGCCAAAATTGCACTGTTTGACATTGGGAAAATCGATATTACGGTATAGGTTGGGTCTCAAGGTTGAATTGTTAAGAAGGACGTTTGAAACACCGCTGGTTTACGACTCTGTTCTGTTAGGTAATACACGACAAGAAGAATACGGTTATATTGATCAGGGTGTAATTTACATTTCCCTGAACTGTATCTATTTTTAGACACAGACAGAAACCAGATGTAATGAACATAGATTGGGAAACCCCATTACGCTATTAAGTATTGCGTTATAGATTGAGCTAGTACAATAAGAAATAACACGTTGATATTTCGACACGCTGGTTTAGTTTGTTATTAAGTATTGCATTATAGATTGAGCTAGTACAATAAGAAATAACACGTTGATATTTCGACACGCTGGTTTAGTTTGTTATTTAAACAACGCCTTTAAATTATCTATCATCTATATATGGAATTACAAGTTGTCATCTTACATTTGTTATACGTTACTTCAGCGAGCTAGTTCGGTAATTTAAATATGGCCAGTCAAATTATGTGTATCTATAACCACCAATCAATAATATGTCATAAATCGTTTTGCGCCCCTCCCCATAATGAAGTCCTTGATCTGTCCTTGACGTGCTTACATTCTGTTGAACGATACGGTTGGATAAGTTAACATACTGTTGACGTTATACAAGTCCTTTCACTGTTAGGCAGAGCAGTCCTACTGTACGTAATAAATCATCTTCTGCCGAAAAAAATAAATCGTCTTTGGCGATTTACTTTTAATACTGAGTTTTTTGGGCGTGTCATGTTATACTGTTTGTGCGAATGAAAACAAACAGAAAAGTTGTATGTCCGGGATCCTGTTTACCGGTATTATGATTTAATACGTGTTAGATGTATTGGCGTTTAAAACTTTAACTTGTGTTTCCTTGATTGATATGAAATGCATATTTGTAACATAAAATAAAAAGGTTTAATATTATTTACATTACAAATGCATTGGGCTTTGTTACACATTATCGTTATCTTCGTGATAGTCGTTTGTCTTTAGGTTTAAGGGGAAATGTAACACAATTTAACCATAAAGTTACGTTTATGAAGTTTTTTCTCATTAAACACCAGGGAAATTCTGCATGATATAGGTTAAATATACAGCCTGCCACTAAACAGTCGGTGTTGCAGGCCCCCATAGTGTTTACGTTTCTTGTTACCTACAAGTTGTCAAGACCGGGTAAATAGTCTAGTGAGATGTCCAATAAACACTACTTTTTAACATGCTTCAAGTATGCTGAAACCGATAAATATGGTTCCTGAGCGAGATTTTACCTTCTAATTTACTACATTAATGAACACAAATTCTTCTTGGGTCGTCTTCGGCAGCGTTTCTGTAACCAGCCAACAAACATGTCATTAAAGGTCTTTGCCTTCGTTTTGATGTTCGAAAAGTATGTCTAAGGCTTTTTGTAACAATTGTCGTTTAACAATATATATATATATATATATACTCATAAAAGTGACCGCTATTTAATATCTGTTATCAGACAGGTTTACATACCAAATGAAGTACATTATGTATTGTACCTAGACATATCGTTTGTTGGGCAGAGAAAAAAGTTAGAACATTTCTGAGTAATAAGGGGTAAACAATACTCGTATCTAAAGACACGTCCACCAAGCTGCAAGTGGTGGGAGATTCTCAGGAATTATTGGCATTCTAAATTCGTTTGAAGAGTTATTCTGTCAGTGATGCATTAAATATTATTGAACGAAACAAATATTCTGTCAAATTTAGCTGATTGGACTCAGTGACATCGGCTTTGACTGTGGTATGTGAAAATTGGCAATCTGCCGGTCATTTTCCGTGATGCATGTTAGATATGCCTAGAACGCGAAATAATTACCCGTATCAATTTTTTTTTCTTTCTATTTTTGGGTCAAAATCTTGAAAATTTAGGCCCGCGTTAATAACCCGCTATACGGTAGGCCAACAGTCAAAATTTTGCCTAAAAAGTTTACAGCATATTTGAAAAATGTTCAAAAAGCTCGACGATGCTCTATTAACCTCATTGTTCGTACACAGGGCTTATTTCCTACAAATTCGATCAGTATGATATGGTTGGCGAATCCTATGACATAGTGTACCACACCAGTGAATAAAGCATAATTTATCCTGTAGGTTTAGCAAGGGTAAGAAAAATATCTATGAAATTTGTCACTCGCCATCAATATGAATATTGAAAGTTCAACATATAGTGTACATATGTGGTGGTATATATGTACATATGTGGTGGTATATATGTACATATGTGGTGGTATATATGTACATATGTGGTGGTATATATGTACACATGTGGTGGTATATATGTACACATGTGGTGGTAGATATGTACACATGTGGTGGTATATATGTACACATGTGGTGGTATATATGTACATATGTGATGGTATATATGTACACGTGGTGGTATATATGTGCATATATGGTGGTATATAGTTCTTCTGCCGAAAAAAATATATGTACATATGTGGTGGTATATATGTACACATGTGGTGGTAGATATGTACACATGTGGTGGTATATATGTACATATGTGATGGTATATATGTACATATGTGGTGGTATATATGTGCATATATTGTGGTATATATGTACATATGTGGTGGTATATATGTACATATGTGGTGGTATATATGTAAATATGTGGTGGTACATGTATATAATAGTATGTACATATGTGGTGTTATATAATTTGTCGTTTGTTAACCTCCCAATCTAATCCTTTTATGCATAAAAGATCATTGGAAAGGAACTTTATTTTGGTCGGTGCTTATGTTTTCTAAGCCTTCAGCATTTTTACATACATCACACTGAATATAAGAAGGTCACATATATTGGATTTCCTTTCTTCGTTCCAACCTTTCTTGCAATTTATTAGAACGCTATACACAATGAACCAAACTGCAACGTAGTGCTACTACAATAGTGCTACAGACTTGAAACTGACATTCGTTTCATCCGTTATCCCCAAGTGCACATGATACCCGTGCAGGTACAATGCAACCAGGACCTTCCATCCCGTTTCAGCATGATTGGCCGATTTTTTAAATACTTTATCGTCCTTCTGGCTTTTCCTTGATTACTTGTTCACAAATGTACATACGAAACTAAGACTGAAATTCGTAATCGACTTGGTTGTTACGTATTTAGCTCGCAAAATCGATGACATTCATCGTACGCTAGGTAACCTGAAAAAAATACGAACTCGGATAACAAATAACAACAAAAACGCTTAATACTTTATTGTTATTGATGTTAGTGAATCATCATTACGTACATCCAGGGTGTGTGTCTATCACGTGGTCGAATGCACTAAAACCACGTGATATCATCACCCGTCAGTAGATTTCGGCAGCTGGTTGCTGTTGGCGACGTCTACGTCATAGAAGTATGTCACGAGATGATATTCAGATAACAATATCGTTACTTTTTGATCACATTGTATTGTGTGTACTAATTCCCAATAGTAGAGAATCTGGAGATACACTTAATGAAGATTCGTTATCAATTTCCATTGCTATCAGTTGTTGTAAAATTTCCCGTAAAGAAAATGTTGTACTCTGAGCCAGAGTATATGACCGAATTTGAATTAAAAAACATAACAAACTATCATTTCAAAACCACCAGACGCTCAGGCATATAAATAGGATTGATATTCTTACTGAGTGGTTAACGGAATATATTTGGAGACGAAAATAATATGTATTGTAATTTATAATGTTAATTTTTACACAGTGATAATCCTATTCGTTAGTTACAGGTGAGACGTTTTTGTTAAGTTCTCTCTCTATGTCAGCTCGGACTTCGACAGGTTGAATATCTGGATGATACCGCTTGACAATCCTGCCGTCACGACCCACCAAAAACTTCTCGAAATTCCAGTGCACGTCGTAGATGGACAGAGGAGAGTAATACAGTCCCTCGAAAAATTCCTTGTGTATTGGAGGGCAGAATCTCTGCAAGAAGTAATAGATTGAAACAGACACATTAAAATATTGTTTTTTCATCAAACGAACACCGATGAACACTCAAACGTATTTGAAAATCAATATTCAGACCTCGAAAGAATTGAATTAAATATTAAACTTGAAGTGGTATATTTCGTAGCAAATGAGACACGGTTTAGAGGTATGCCATAAGATGACAGTGTCATCAGCGATGATTGGGCCTGTACTCGGTTGCTATTTTAAAGGTCCATCTCACTAAAACGTCACAACCTGGGGACATACCACCCTACCGGGTCACTCTATTCTGACAAGTGCTTGACCAGAGTTACGTAAAGAGACTCTATTGACAAATTTGACGATTTGGGTTTCGTTTGCGGACTACCTTAAATCCCAGATGGCCGTCATGGCCTCTGATACGCCTACCTTTTTAAACAGTTAAACATTTATATTGTATATTTCTAAGTTGTAAAATTAAGATGATTTAAGGACAAAATGAGTCAGGAGGGAAATGAAAAAATAATTGTGATGATAAAAGTATCCTGTATACTTCGGAGGATTAAAGAGACCAACATAAAGTTGACAGTGCTTAGCTTGTTGTTCAAAGTGGGTGGAATGTCATGTAATTGTATCCAGGTGATGACGTTTGTGCTAACTGACACCTTAGAGAGGCGGTTTATTGACCTGATCACCTGTATACACTGGCTTTACATGACATTAGCTGTTGCAAAGACAAAACACATAAACAAACAAAATAGTGGTAAGTTTGGGGTTATCAAACACAGAATAGAGAATACACAAATGACAAATGTATGCTACTGTTGTCTTTGTTGAACGGCTAGTAATTATACCTAGTCTATATTCGACAAGGCATTTCGACATTTCTGTAAATGATGATAATAAACTGCACGTGACGCACCTTCAGGTAGACATAGAGGGGATGTTGGAGATGTCCATTGATGTTTATTATTTCTGTGTGTCGGAAATTTGGCTTGAAACCAACCCCTGGTCGAACGTGCATGATACCATTCATGATCTCGGTAC